TTCAAAGAAATTTAACATGACATCATTTGCTCACTAATGGATCCTCTGCAGTGAATGGGTGCCGTCAGAATGAGAGTCCAAACAGCTGATAAAAACAACAAAATAATCCACCTGTGATCCACACCAGTCCAGTCCATCAATCTTGTGAAGCAAAAAGCTGCATGTTTGTAGATGTGAGCAGGGGCCAAAATTAACTATTTCCACAGTGGGCACTGGTGGGCGAATTGACAAAAAACAACTGACAATAAATGTGATCCTGGACCACAAAACCAGTAATAAGTTGCACAGGTATATTTGTAGCAATAGCCAACAATACATTGTATGGGTCAATTATTATTATTTTTCTTTGATGCCAAAAATCATCAGGATATTAAAGGGGTCATATGATGCTTTTTTAAAGATCATTATTTTGTGTATTTGGTGTAACAGAAAATGTTGACATGCTTTAATGTTCAAAAAACAAAACTTAATTTTTGATTAGTAATATGCATTGCTAAGAACTTCATTTGGACAACTTTAAAGGGGATTTTCTCAATATTTTATAAAAATAGTTTCTCACCCTCAGATTCCAGATTTTCAAATAGTTGTATCTCGGCCAAATATTGTCCTATCCTAACATCATCAATGCATACATCAATGGAAAGCTTATTTATTCAGCTTTCAGATGATGTATAAATCTCAATTTCAAAAAATGACCCTTATGACTGGTTTTGTGGTCCAGGGTCACAAATATATTTCATACATGAACCTGTATTTTGCATTATATTTATTAAATATTTTTGTGCATATGACAAATTTAAAATTCAATTACTTTGGAACAAATATAAACAGGCACGTGCACACATAGACATCAAAGGGGGCTTGAGCACCTGCCCTTTTTCTTCCTCGAGAGAAATTGCCCCCTTTTTTTAAATTTTTTTTTAATTTTTTTTTTTTTTTATAAATTAATATTTGTATATATGTGTGTGTGAGTGTGTGTGTTACTGTTTGCGCACAGCTTTCCCTGTCAAACAAATAAAAAATCAAAATATCAGGTTGGGTCAGGAAATGCCTTTCTTCCTCCTCGTTTCCGCAGCACAGCAGTGTAGCATACATTGATCGGCACATAACAGGAAGAGTGCTGCAGAAGTGAAGCCCTCCCTCCCTTTCCAGTTGTGTTTGTCTTGGTGTGGAGGTGAGTGGTGATGAACAAAAGACTAAGCTACCTGTGCCTCGAATTTACAGCTAATCATCCAAAAGACAAATATAGTGAATTTGTCTTGCTAACATCCATGACTCATGAGAGCTACCATGTAACTTAAGTTAGCTAAAGTTTAGCTAAGGCAATAGGAAGTCTAGCAGGTTGGACCAGTGCGCGTTCTTTCACGGCATGATTCTGTTTATTAAAATGCATTTAGAATGATCACAAAATATTGTCTTGGTGTGGAGGTGAGTGGTGATGAACAAAAGACTTAAGCTACCTGTGCCTCGAATTTACAGCTAATCATCCAAAAGACAAATATAGTGAATTTGTCTTGCTAACATCCATGACTCATGAGAGCTACCATGTAACTTAAAGGGGTCATATGATGCAATTTCAATTTTTCCTTTCTCTTTGGAGTGATGTTGATTTTATACAGCAGTTCAATAAACAAGAATTTAATATTAAGACACTTACGTTTTAGACACAATATTGACTGTTTTTGCTCTATTTCGCCAACAGATATAATAACAATTTGCGTCTCCGAGCAACACGATGCTGTTTTGTTCCTGAATGAATCAACTGTTTAAATGATTCGGTTCAGTCGCAATGACTCACTTATTAACAGTTACTTGCTGCCACCTACTGGCAGTTTTAATTTCACATTTAAAGTATCTTTTCATTTTTTCAAAATAATTTAAATTGTTTTATGTTTAAAATATCAAACAGTTTTAATGCATTTGTAACTGCAGGTTAAATACATTCATGTCCTGCATTAAACAGTGTAAATGCATCTAAATGCCACTTCTAATGCAGCTTCTGTGTTTTCTCTGCATTGCAAAGATTAATTTTGCCAATACTGATTTCATTTGCTTGGTAATAGCCCAAATGACTATTATTCTAATTGACTGATTCAATTTAAGAATTTGACTGAAAAGATGATGCACACTTTTAGA